GAGCTCTCCTCAGTTGTCACCTATAACCAGGAACCTGGGCTGTAGCAATGTCTGTTCCTGACAGGAGCAAAGAACTACTGCAGGCTCTTTTCCTCTCAGAAGGATACCCAAGGATGCAGCAGCACAAAACATGACTTGCTTATCAATGCTAATGGAGGCACAAATAGTCAAAGAAGGCAGAGTCTTTGCCCACTCTGCAGGCAGCACAGTGCACAGCCAGGCTGAGATGGCCTTTGGGACATCACTCCTATGTTTTACATCAATCACCTCAATGCAAATAGGTTTGTTTGCAGACCCTCCACTACATTAAACTTCATTTTACCTCTGCTACAAGGACAGATTGTTCAGCATCTGCCTTTGCTTCTAGGCACTATTAATAATATTAGAGTACATCCCAGTGACAGTCACCAGCATGAAGTCTGTACTGAAATGCCATTCATTTAAATATGCAGATAAATCTTACACACATTTTTTGTTCAGTGCACACAGAACTCGAAAATACATAGCCTCTAACTCTGCTATTCATTCTGTGAGTGTAAGGCTCCTGTTGGTTTGATCCTGCTGCAAAAATCTATCAAGAGATATTGATCCCTTTCCTACCTTGGCCAGATATCTTGGCCAGGCATTCCTGCACCCATTCATTTCACCAGGCCAGTTCAGGCACCCATGCAAGCTGGAGCCCCACCAGGACAACAACCAGCAGCCAACAGCTGGGACAGGCCTGGTGAGCATGGGGTGAGCACACAGCTTGTGCATGAGCTCCCTAGAGCTCCTGCAAGAGAGGTCCTCACACAGAGCAGTCCCATTGACACAGATTTCTCCAGGACAACTTCCCCAGCTTGGCAAGCCACAGACAGGCTTTTCACAGATTTATACATTTATCTAATTGTTCTTTCATCAGTTCTCTAAGGAAACTAAGAGTTTACCCACAGCAATCACTAGCTAGATTCAAAAATAGAAGAATTTTGCCCATTAGGCCCCATCACATGCTCAGTCTTTCACCACAGTCACTGTGGCTGACTGAAAAGTCAAGCCCCAGGAGCAGAAGTACCACCCTCCCCAAAAAGCCCTCTCAGATGAAGCACTTGCAAGCAGCACAGGTGCTGTGTTTAGCAGTGCCTCTCCAAAGGCAGCCTGAGAAATGGGAGCAGCTTACAAAAAGTGATGCAATAAGCAGAATTTGATACTGCAAACACTATGTTGCCTAATCCCTGGTCTACAGATCTGTCCAGTTAGGCTTTTTAGGTCACATGTATTTGCTTCCCTTGGTGTTATTTCTGAATTTTACCTGAAAAGGAGCTCAGTTACAGGAATTGCATTTTACTGTACCATATGTCAGTATATTTCAACTCAAATTGTATTTGAGATAACCTGAGTGGATTTCTGGGAAGAAAACCATAAGCCTTGCTTTGCAGTAAAATCTCTCCAGAACTGAAGAGGCATGCTTGAAATAAGTGCATTTGAATAGGCCAGCAAAAGTGTGACTTCCAGTGCAGCTGAAACAAATAATATTTGCTTAGTAGAACGTGAGTCCAGGATCTTGGCACAATGACCTGCTTTTCCTCAAACAATTGTCTGGGTTTTTTTTTTTAATTTAAATTGAGATGTGATCTTCCAACCAGTGAGCACCACTGAACACAGCTGATCAGACTACCCAAAACAGGATTTTTCATGAAAGAGTCATTTATACTCCCATATTTTCACAAGTTCTGAAAACTCCTGAAGATAATATTTCTTAACTCTGAATAGCTGTTTGCTAATGGCAGGAAGTTGCTTTTCTTCTTGCTGCTGACTCTAACAGAAGCACTGAGGCATCAGGAGTTTTTCCAGGCTGAAGTATCCAGTTGCCTTTTTGTTTGCTCATGCAGGTGTTTTACGTAATTGCCCCAAGAAGGCTGACGCTCACGGAAAGCAGCTGCAGCACAGGCAGCGTGCAAGGTGTTCACCTCTCACAGCTTAGCTGGCCTCTAAGAGCACAGCAAAACAAGTCCTGTGCTCCTACTCAGGCTACTTGAAGTGTTCAAATTATATTATGGCTTTGTGTTGTTAATAACACCTGATAAGCAACACCCCAAAACTCAAAATGAATCAAATATTCTAAAATATAAAGAGACACTAAAATGGGGGGAGCCCACCAAAACTGTTTTCCATCTAGTGTTACTGTCATGTCTAGTCTAGTCTAATGTACCTGAATAGGAACTTAATTCAAAGTTCTTATATTAAGGAAGAAAATTATCAAGAAAAATCTGAACCTAAATTATTTACTGGAGAAATGTAGGCAAAGTCCCTCTATCCTTCCCAGGCTTAAACTCTGCCTTTCAACTGGATCTGCAAGTCTTTCTTCTACTGCTTTGCTTTGTCCCCCTCTAACTTGCAGGTCTATCATCAAACTTCCATGAGGAGACTTTCTCAGAAATATGTAATTTTTAAGAGTCTTAAAAAACAGCTGGGCTTCCTTTCAAACAACCAAAGAGGTGGCCTTCACCTGTTTAAATACTTGAACAGATGAGCCCAGCTGGAAACCTATCTTCCTGTGACAGGAAGGAACAACTTTTTTAAGGACTTAACTCCTTCTCTGCCTAATAAAAGATAAGACTTCAGAAGCACATTTATGGCAGTATGGCCACTGGGCTGCAGGAGAGAAGGCTCAGGGGAGATCTCATTGATATGTATGAATGTCTGCTGGGAGGGAGTGGAGAGGAGGGAGCCAGGCTTTACTCAGCAGTACCCAGTGACAGGACAAGAGGCCATGAGGACAATTTGAAATACAGGAAATTTCACTTATGCAGGAAAAAGCCCCTTTTCTGCTGGAAAGGTGGTAAAACACTGGAGTATGTTTCCCAGACAGATCTGGGAGTCTCCATCCTTGGAGACACTTTTAGCCCAATACAGGACATGGTCCTGGGCAATCTGCTGGAGCTGAGTGTGCTTCCAGCAGGTATCAGGTGATACAATCCCCAAAGGGCCCTGCCCCACCTCACTCCTCCCCATCACTGTGTCCCTGCAGGACAGCTCTGGCATGGCACAGGTCACAGGGCAGAGACACCCAGCACAGAGTGACTGTACATGTCACTGTACATGCTCCTCTGAGGCCTGAAACTGCTCTGCATTATCTCAGACCATCTCCATGTGAACATGCCTGTGAGGAGACCCTAAACCCCAGGAACTAAAAATGTGATGGTGGATTAGTGACAAGCCTGAGAGGGAGCCTCTGCTCTCCTTCAGAAGACCCCATGCAATAACTAATTAATTTGGCCTTTTTTTTTGCAACATTATTGATTCTTCCTTGAAGTCACATTTTTAAAATTTCATTTCTCCCCACTTCCTTTAAGTTTTCCCTTATGAGCAATTTGCCCAGATTCAAGGACAAAAGTGACAGTGCATCACCTCCATCTGAGCAGTGTGACAGTACATTTAATTCCTTCCCTTAGCACAAAGGGATTATTATTCCATTTTATTTCAGCTGGCTTCTGGGAATACACCCAGCCATTCACCTGTGTGAGTTGTCCTTTGTACAAGGATTCTGTTTTTAGAAGCATCTCACGTGAGTTGGATCAAGGATTAGCAGTAGGCATTTCTGAGCACTTGTGGTCACAGCTAACATCCTTTGGGCTTCTTCTGCTATCAGAAGGAATTTTCTGCTACCCTTCCTGGAGTATTTCTGTCTAAATAAAATTATTCATTGGCCAAGGAATCCCAGAGTCTCCCTGTGAGCAGTCCCATGATTTGCAGACAACTAGACTCTTGCCAGAATGGGCCAGAGGGAGATCCTGCTAAAATCTTTGTGAAATAGCTTTTAAGGTGTGTGTTTGGGCACTAGCAAGGCCCTGTTTCTACAGCCTCAAAGGGAATACAAAAGTAAACCTTTGTTTTCTCTGCCCCTTGCCTGCATGGGTTGATCCTCCATTAAGGTTTCTCTACCTTCATGTAATGAAGCTTGCAACTTATTCAAGGGAGGCAGCAACAGGCCTGGACTTTCAAGACACTTTTGCCTTCTCCTACTAATTTATCCATTTACCCAACCCCAAGTAAACCTCATTAAAAAAAGAAAGAACAAAAGAAGGGAAGATGGTCTCAAGCATGCTGGAGTTCTGCACCTTTGTGTTTCCTGTTTCCCCTGGCACTGAAGCAAGTGCTTCAGCCACTCACCCCGTGGTGACAGGACAGATTGATTACACTAATTGTATGACAATGACTTGAGCAAGGTATGCATGAAGTCATTAGCTAAAGCAGGAATTCAATGCCGAGATCCCAAACCGTCCTTTGTCCTTGCTGCACTGATATCTTATCTGCTTCAGCTCCAGAAAGGATTCAATAGCTGAATTGCTGAGGGCTGTAGCTCTCAGGAACATTCCTGATCAAAACGAAATTACCTGGCAACTTGGCTCTGTGGGCTGTGAAACCGGCCATGGAAAGGGTACAAGACGCTGACCGTGCTGCAGCCTCAGCAGCCTGTTGGTGCTGATACTGCAGGGCTGTGTAAAGAGAGCCCTGCCTCCAGGGGCTTTCAGCTGCTGCTCAGGAGCTGGTCTTGTTATCCTCAACACCAACTTACACCGGCTTTGGGAACCCAAATCCACCTGTTGGAAAAGGTGTAAAATCCACCTCATTCTCCCTCCAAACACAGGGCTCATTAAAACATTCATTTGTGCAAATCTGAGTGCTGTCAGAATGGTCCATTGAGCTGATGTTGTACCAAGGAGCTGCAATAGAGTGCAGGGTGTACTGTGTGCACAGACTGTTACCCACTCAGGGACCAGGTAGAGGGAAAAACACTTCCACCTGAAATTTATGGCCTGAAAGCCATAAATAGCAGCCTTGACTTGGTAACAGCCTAATCCTTTATCCTAAAGGCAAACTAGCCTTTCTCCCCTGTCCTGTCAATATCTCAGTTGGAAGTGTTAAGCAGCAAAACAAGGCACAAGAACATGACACCAAGCAAGGCAGTGCTTTTAAGTATTCCTAAAAAAAAAACCCAACAACATAAAAGTCAACCTAAAACTTTATTTAGTAGAAAACTTTCAGATGACAATTTGTTTGAATATTCGAAGCACTACACTGCCAACATACTCATTAAAGACAGCTCCCGTTCTCCTAAGGTATAATCCCTTTTCATACTGCACCCTTTATTTGTTGCTTTCATCCTGACAGAGAGGCTGTACAGCTCTTCTTCTGCAATGCCATCAAAAAAGAAGTCCTCATTGAAGATGGGATTTCTGCTTCTCTTTATAACTGTGCTTCTCTGCTTCTGTGTTTTCCCTGGCACCAGGGAGAAGGAGATAGAGCAGTTGATGCTTTTGGGCTCTACAGAATCGTCATACAAACCCTCTGCACTGATGAGGCGGATGCGCAGCCTCTCGTTCTCGGAGCAGTACTCAGCTGAGAGCCTCAACACGCCTCCCTTGTCCATGGCCACAGCACTCTCCCCCACCAGCCTCTCCCGACTGCAGCTCAGGTCCACCGGGAACAAGGGAGAACAGGAGGTGCTAAAGCTCCGGATGCCAAGCAGCCCTTCGGAGGCTCTCCTGATGGCACTGGGGCTGTTATCAGTGGAGCTGCTCTCCTCTGTAGAGAGAGAATTGTTCCTGGGCATACTGTGTTTGCTCTTGTCTTTGAGTGTTCTGCAGAGCAATCCCTCCTGACTTTGTGCTTTGATCAGGGAGCAGGGTCTGGGAGGTGACCTGGTGAGAAGTGGAGAACTGAAAGGAGAGGAATCACTGGAAGAGGCAGTGTCACTGTCACAGGCACCTTGCCTGTGCAGAGACAGGTGCTTGGGCGGCAGTCTCACCGAGGCAAAGCTGATAGCAATGGGGTTAGACATGCTCCCTTTGCCACTGAAGGTGTTAGCTCTGGATCGAGACAGCTTCAGGCTGGGCAGAGCCCCACGGGGATCACCATGGAAGATGGACTCCTTCCTCCTGGTGTGGGGGCTCTCCAGCAAAGTGCAGAAGCCATAGGAAGTGGGGGCTCTGGGAAAGTGGGGCAGGGAGAGCGCTGCTTGGGACTGTGGGTCTGCATTGGTGCTTTCTTCCTCCAGGGCAGAGATCTCCTCTTCAACACTTTCCACCTGAATGAGATGTGGGCAAGAGCTGGGGCTATAATCAGAACTAAGAGCTGCATCCACTGAACTGTGATCCTGGTGGAAGCCACTGCCCTTAATGGGGCCAGAGCTGGTCAGCCTGGGGGGAATGCAGAATTCAGGGATTCTGTCAGGAGTGATCACATTTGGAAAAGCAGCAGCCCTCAGCTGAGCTTTTTCTGGCAGATTTTGGCTTTGTGGCAGTCCCAGGAAGGAAGAGCTGGGGAGGTTTCCATTTTCATGTGACCCTCTGATCTTTTCCAACAACCACATTGCTGTAGCTGGGCAGGAGGTCCTCAAAAGGGAAAAGTTTGAAGGAGAAATCCACCTGCAGACACACAGAGAAGAAAAGGTACATGAACATCCTTTCTAGACGCACTACAGCCAAGCAAGGCACAAAGGGTGCCATTCAAGGCATGTTCAACACAGCCCCTGCCCGGCACACCACCTTCAGCGAAGTCAATTGGTGCAAGAGCAGAACTAAACCACTAAACAGAGAAAACAGCACGGAGCCACTACCAGAGGAAAACGTCCCTCTCGCATAATCCCTGCGGCGCTTTTCCCTCAGCAGAGGACGTACCTTGAGAAGCTCAAGCCTCGTTGTTTCCAGCAGCTCCGAGCAGGACGGCGCAGCCCGCCCCGGTCCTGCCTTTAGTAGCCGCGCCGGGCGCCTCCCAGCGCGGGCAGGGGCGGGGGCTGCAGCCGCACCTCCCATCCCATGCCGGGGTACGGGAGGGAGAGCGGCCCTGCAGGGCGCCCTGCTGGGCACCGGGGCACGGGGAGGGACTTGCCGCAGGGGCCTCTCACGGGAAAGCGCTTTTCGAGCGTGTCCTGTCGCCCCCGCAGAGCAGCGGATGTTCCCAGCGCTTGGCACTCGCCTGCGAGCGCGGGGGACGGGGCTGCCCGGGCCCGGGCCCTTGCCCTGCCTCCAGGTTCTTTTTGATTAATATCTGCTTACGGGGGCGTCCCGAGGTGTTCCGAGATAACTGACAAACCCAGGACAGAAGCAACATTGTCCTTGGGGATTCTTTTCTTCTGGAGATCCTGGCAGCTTTCCAGCGTTAGAGCAGTAGGAAGCGGGGATTGCGGTTTTCGAGCTCATTTGTAAAGAACTTTGCTGCCTTTCTACATCTGAATGTGTGTCCGCCCCCTCGTTACTCACAAAGAACGAGACTACGGAACCCTGACACAGCGTTCTGATCGCTGACACTGAGCAGCGACAGAAACGGGAATGCAGGTGCAGCCAGGGGAAAGACAAGGCACGAAATGCTTTGGCAAATCACCTTGAAAAGCAGCACATCAAAAACCCAGGCCCGCGTGATGCTCAACAGACCCTGCTCAAAGCCAGGGGGGATCCATGAACTTCCTCACCAGCGCAGCAGGGCCCGACGGACCTCTGCAAACTCTAATTATTCTGCAAGCAGGAATCTCTAATGCAAAGCCAGGAAGGCCTGCCAAACTGGTTGGCTAAATACTCATCTGAAGCCTATAACACAGGGATAGTAGACAAATAATATTCTTCCTCCCTCTTCGCTGAAGAGCTGAGGTGCCTGTTTACTGAGTGCTTGAAATAGATGACATGTGCTCAGAGAAAATAAATCCCGTGGGCAACAGGGGCAGGGAACATTTTGAACCTGCTGAAAGATTTAGCTGGGGACACACGTGTTCTGGGTGTAAACCCTGCTTCTCTCCTGGCTTTTTTTATACCAGTTAGGCTTCATTAGCATAACAATCTCCGGGTGATTAAAATCTGAGAAAATTCCTTCTGCCGTGCTTTGTAAAAAGGTTCAGGACACCCCAAACATCCCAGTGAGGTTTCAGTTGTAGGAGCTCGTGTAGTTTACTTAAATGAACTTACTTGATGTGGGTGTGCTTCAAATAATCTTCAATCCAATTTAGAGGCTTCTGGAGAGGGTTAGTGCTTTCTCCAGCCAGTGAGACTACAGCAGAGCAGTAAGAGAAATTCCTGGAGATGCTGGGATGCTCTCCTTTAGGAAGCAGAGTGTGCACCTTACAGCTGTTATCCATTCAGACCAGGCAATACCATACCACCATACCATGAATCATGCATTACACACCATGTAGTTTCCAAAGAGTAAGTGGGCTTGTTTTACGTGCTATGCACCTCTGCCTTTGATACAAAAAAAAAAACAAACAAAAAACCAAACAAAAAAAACATTAAACATGGAGAAAAATTAAGGAAATGGCACTTTTTAGTGGAAACCTTACTGCCTTCAGTAACAGATCACAGAGGTTGTTCACATACAGCAATCATGGCAACCAGCCTCAGGTGCACTAAGTTCACAGCTGGCATGAGGCAGTGATGAAATAAAGTATCTACACTTGTAGGTACGTGATTTCTCCTGAGTCTCTTCACCGTCAGGGATAAAGTTGGGGCTTCTCCAGAGGTGATCAGAGTCTCATGATCACAGTTGCCTGTCTCCCTCCAGTGACTGCAGAGAGGAAGCAGGTGCCTTACATGGGGTGACGGATCCTCCCCTTCTTATGAAAGCCTGCACGTTATAGACATTCAACAGATTGCTCACGTGCTGGGAGTTCAGCAACACTTGAGCACTTGAACCTGCCCCATGGAAATAGGCACTCAAATGTGTACATATAACTTCCTGTGTTCAGAACAGATTCTTTCCTTGATTAGCTTCAGAGCATAATTAAAATATGCTGCCAAGAGGACTTCCTGTTGCTATAAAAATATGCCTACAATAATCCACTTTTAAAGCGGATATAATTCGTGGAAAGCCTTTATTACAACCCCTGTACCAACAACAGGTGAAAGCCTGGGATCTGGGCAGGGGCTGTAAAAAACGGAATTTCCTACCAACACAGGAGGAGCTCGGGAGTTTTCCTTGGTGTGTTCTGCTATGATTGATCTCCTCTCGTGCCGTTCGGACTTCCCTGGCACAGCGGCTCAGGAAAGGTCCGGCCGCGCCTCCTCCCTGCGGGAGCCCGGGGAGGTGCGGGGTAAAACATCCGAGTACAAACGCGGGTTCGAGCTGACCGCTCCAAGGGCCTGGAACTGCGAGGAGAACCCTCCCCGTGCTTTACAGGGCATGGAGAGGGAGAGCTGCAGCAGCTGGCGGCCCTTGGAGAATGTGCACCAGGGGAGGGGAAAATGACTGGAAAGGGAAAAAGCAAAAAACCTCTGGCTCTGCTGTGAAAGGGGGAGATGTGAATGCCAGCCCTGGAAGAGATAGCACATAACATCTCACCATTCTTAAAGCAGCAGCGATGACTGTGCATTATGTTACATAAAATATTCAACATTTCCACAAGCTTTTGTGAGAATAGAGAACCCAGTTCAGTTTTATTTTCCTAAAGAATGCAGCAGTAACTCAGCTGTAGCTTCTTGAAAGAAGACTTCAATCAGCTGAGAGGCACTTAGATACAGTTTTTTGTTAGAGATTGGTATCAGGAACAAACACAGCACATTGTATAGTGCATTAATTCCTTCCTGTCACTTTGACTAATGTCAAATATATCTATTAGCAGACTGCTCACCATTTCTGGCCTAAATCAATGGCCAAATTATTCTGCATTACTCTCACAGTAACACAAAGTAGTAACAGAGGTTCAGCAAAACTAATCTGACAACTTGACCTTTCTTTTTTTGTATCACAGAGTAGTTTATATTTTATCTCATCAGCAAAGACAATGTCATGCATTGCTTTACAAGAAATGCCCATGCTCCTTTAAATGAACAAATGAATGAACAGGTGCCCAAGTGCTGGCAGCAAGAGCTCAGGAGCTGCAGGGCCCTTCAGGCACTTGGGGACTTTATGCCAAGTATCTCAAGTGCCTTGTGTCACAGCAGTGTGAACTGTAAAAATCTAAAAGTATGAACTGAAAACTTCATTCTTGATAGCATATTACATAGTCCTGTTATGAGAAGCTGAGAATTGCCATGCAAAAATCCAAGAAAGGTATGCTGTTCCTAATTCCACTCAACCAGTTTCCCAAAAAGGCAAGTTTCTACAGATAGATAACCAGGATAACCAGTAAAAATTCAATAGCAGAGTGCAGCAGATTTCCCAGGACCAGAGGGTTTACTAGACAGCCTGGGCAGTTTAGGTGTGCTGGTGGAAAGGATCGTAAAGAAGACTGGAACTCGTTTGAGGGAGGAAGATAAAAGAATGTGGGATTATTATTATTTTTTTTTAAATACAATAGGCATAAAGACTGCTTGCTTCTGGGAAAAAAAGGGCAGGGATTTCTGAGTTACACAGCTCCAACTTTGAAGGCACATGTGACTCTCAGCCAAGGCTTGGCAAACTGCTGCCTTTCAGTGATTAATCTTAACCTTCAAAGGAAAAAGGGCTCAGGTACTCAAAAGGAGGCTGCTGGTACCCCTGTGCATGGCCACCATTGTGGAGCACCAAAGTGTCTGATCCTCCTCCAGGGAATCAATTTAACCAGGAGAGCTAAAGGGTGTCCAGTCAGGAAGAAAACTTTGTTGCTGGACACATGCTCACTGAGGCCAGCCATGAGGTCACAGCCAAGTCACACAGATGCAGACACAAAGAATGGAAATTGTATTTCCTCTAAAAGATTTACATTTCATAGAATACTCTGCAAGTGCCTTTAATTCAGATTCTTGAAGCCATGGCAGTGGCAGAGGTGCACAGTTTGGGCATGATCAAACCTTGCAGCAAGACAGAAAGAACACATATCCAAGGGACTGCTGTATAAACTGCATTGTTAGTGGATGTTTCATTTAAATATTATAGGGCTAAACATGATGAAAACCTAAAAATTCCCATGACATTTCCCACAGTAACAGCTCTGTATTACAGACTGTGTTTCTTTCAAGAATTCTGCAATCTGATGAAAGCAGAACTGCCCCTGGACTGTCTTGTTCAAGTCCCTCTTCTGTTGTTGAAGATAAACTTATTCCAGTGTCAAACAGCTCATTTCAGGGCAGGCCTCTCCCACTAGGCCAGGTAAGTGCCTTTTAGGATTCTCAGGAAAAAAAGTCCACCAAAGTGATTAGGTCACCTCACAGAGATGTACTGTGTGAGCAGTCATGAGCTCCCCTTCTGCCATGGCTCTGTAGAGTTACTGTGCTGTGCTTGTAGCAGGATACATCCCCAATAATGGAATGGGAGAATCACCACTAGTATTTCCCTCAGAGTAAAAACAGAAATTGAATCAGACAGTACCACTTTATCATTTATAGACCAGACTATTTCAGTGGAAAGGGACCTACAACAATCATCCAACTGCCAGACCAATCCAGGGTTCCTCAAAAGTTAAAATTGTGTTATTAAGGGCCT